GTTCTCAAATGTGACTCAGTTCACAGCCCACAGACACACATCCTGATCTTCCCTTTCCTCTCACTCTCAGTATCTCTCATGTCCTGTATTGTCCCAGGGCCTCTGTGCACACCCCGTTTTCCAGCCCCACCCAAATTCTTCCCAAGCCCAGCTCACACCCCAGCTGCCCTTCCCTCAGTTCTTGTGCCTCAGCTCTCCTTGTCTGGGCTGCCTTTCCCATCACCTCCAGTACGTCCCGCCCCTTAGTGTGGATCCTCTAGGCTCATCTGTTCCTCAAGTTTTCCCTCCACTGATGACCCCACCCTGCATCATGAAGTTCAGGAATTTTCTTAAAAGGTGGAAGATGGAAGGGACCTATTAGCCACAAAAGATTGGACTGTTTTAATCTGAGAAGGTGAAAAATGCAAACACTTATGTCTTCTCTTCTGTCTCTGCCATCCGAATAATCTTACCCCACAGTGAATACAGTTTCAAAATGTGATAAGAATCTGAGATGGGGTTAGAGGGGCCTGTGGTGAACTTTCGAATGAAGACCTAGAGGATGAAGAAATAAGTGAATGAGTTCGGCAGGTGAGAAAGTGTTCTGAGGAGGGGACACGTCCCTGGACAGGACCCTGAGCCTGGAGGAGAGGAAGTGAAAAGAAGCATGTGTTCAGAGTGAGGAGAGCGGGACAAGGGGTGAGGCTGAGGGGTAGACCCCGGTGATCCCCAAGCAGTGGACAGCAACGACCAAGCAGAAGAGTTTGGCCCAGAAGTTCTGCAGGGTTTCCTGGAGTCTCAGGCAGACAAAGGAAAGTACTTTCAATAGTGCTGCTAAGCCCCAGTCTTGGGAGAAAGAAATCCGTTTCCAACCCCCCGCACCTGGGTCGCTGGGCCCTGGCGATCTGAGTTATGTAAGGGCTCTGAGAGGGAAGAAATGCGAAGAGCCTTCAGCACAGTGTCTCCTGGCTGAACTTGTTAGTCTTCGTCTGTGATACACTGAAGTCAGAAAAGGGATCACTGCCAACATCATTTTGCTGTTATGATTAGTTCAAGTTTCTAATCTTTCACTGCACAACTTCTTGAGAGAAATGAAATGCTAAAAGGAGATAAAAGCTAGCTTGTTTATTTGCCTAAGAGTATGGGGTGGGGGGAGCTAGTTTATTTGCCCAAGTGTTTACAGATGTGGTTGGGTTTAAAATCTATCATCTTGCAATTTGTTTTCTATTTGACCCATCTGTTCTTTGTTCTTTTTTTAAAAAAGAATTTTTTTTCTGCCTTCTTTTGGATTGAGTAATTTTATGATTCCATTTTATTACCTTTGATGGCTTGTTAGGTTGCTTTAGGCTTTATAATATACATCTATTAGTCAACTTTCAATAATGTACCACCAGTGATAATGTACTGCTTTGTGTATCATATAAAAACTTTACAGGAGCACCTTTCCCACCTCCAGGCCTTTGTGCTGTTACTGTCATACATGTCACTTTCATTTACATTATAAACCCTACAATACATCACACACACTGCACAGTTTTCTTGTTAAACAGTTGATGAACTTTTAGTAGATTTTAAAAATAAGGATAAAAAGGTCTTTTATATTTACTTATGTACTATTTCTAACCCTTCATTCCCTTACGCAGCTCTAGATTTCTTTCCAGTATCATTTTCCTTCTGTCTGAAGAACTTACGAACATTTCTTTTGGTTCAAGTCAGCTGTGATGAATTCTTTCAGCTTTTATATGCCTGAAAAAAACTTTATTTAACCTTCATTTTGTGAAAGATTTTTTTGCTGGTTTTTGAGTTGTAGGTTGACAGATTTTTTTTTCTTCCAGTACTTTAAAAATATTGATCCACTGTCTTGTGGTTTGCATTGTTTTCTACAAGAAATCTGCAGTCACCCTTACCTTTTTTCTCCCTCTGCATAGATTGTGGTGTTTTTCCCTCTGACTGCTTTTAAGATTTCCTCATTATCACTGGTTTTCAGAAATTTGGTTATGTTATGCCTTGATCTAGATGTTTCCTATTCTTAGAGTTTATTGGACTTCTTGGATTTGTAGATTTATACTTTTCAGGAAATTTGGAAAATTTCTGGTCATTATTTCTTTAAATAGTCTTTCCGCCCTGCTCTTTCAGGGCCTCCAAGCACGTGTGTTTCATCACTCAAAGCTGTCCCGCAGCTCGCTAATGCGATACTCATTTTTTTTCAGTCTTTTTTTTTTTCTGAGTTTCATTTTGGATAGTTTCTGTTGCTATGTGTTTCAGTATTTTCATCTTTTGTCCTGTTGAGTCTAACAGATTGCAGTTTTCACCTTAGACATTGTATCTTTTATCTTTAGAAGTTCCATTTGGGCTTTTAAAATATTTCCCATGTCTTTATTTAACATGCTCAAGCATTTCTCTATCATATGAACTTTATGACTGTTTCAATGTCCTGATCTACTAATTTTATTATCTGTCACATTTGGATCTGTTTCTATTGATTGGTATTTATTTCTTCTCATAATAGATTGTGTTTTCCTGCTTCTTTGCCTGTCTGGTAGATTTTGATTAGATGCCAGTCATTGTGAATCTTCCTATAAATATTCTAGAGCTTTGTTCTGGGATTCAGTTGTTATTTGGAAATACCACTGACGCTTGAACAACCCAGGGGTTAGGGACACCGAGCCATTGCACAGTCAAAAAATCTATGTATCATTGATTTTCTGTATCCTCAGTTCCTCCATATCCCTGGTTCTGCCATCTGCAGATTCAACCAACTGTGGATTCTGTCATACTGTATTATTTACTAATGAAGAAAAAACCCACATGCAAGTGGATTCATGCAATTCAAACCTGTGTTGTTCTTGGCTCACCTGTAGTTTAATCCTTTTAAGGTTTGCTTTCAAGCTTCATTAGTCAGGATCAGAGTCATTCTTAGCTGCGGGCCACTACTGGGGTAATACCCTCTGAGTCTTCTACTAAATGCTCTGTGAATTAGAAAGTTCTTCCTCTCTGCCTGGTAGGAGCACAACCTCTCGCCAGCCCTGTGTGAGCTCTGTGGGTTGTTTCCTCTGCCCACCTTGGGCAGATCTTTCCCTGACCTCGATGGTTTCCTCACACCCATGCTCTGATCAGCACTCAACTAAAGACTTCAGGAAGACTCTCTGTAGTCCTCTGGATATTCCTTTCTGTGTGGCTTCCTCTTATCTGCTATTCCACCATGAAAATCCTAGCCACCTTGGTCTCCCTGGACTCCCAACTCCATTTCTGTAACTCAAAGAGATAAGCAGGCCCTACCTGGGATCCCTTGTCTTCCTTCAGTCTGGGAACTGTCTCTAGGTGTGCAGCTGGAGCAGTCATAGAGATTATTTTATTTGTTTTCCACTTCTCAGGAATGACTGTCCTGAGCTGCTTGGTGTCCAATGCTTGAGAACAATTGTTTCATACATTTTGTCCAGTTTTCCAATTTTTTTCTGGTAAGAGGGTAAATTTGGTCCCTGCTACCCCTTCTGAGCTGAAAGCAGAAGTCTTAAACTGTGTTTTAACTGGTGGTTTTCACACTTCAGTACGCTTCAGCATTAACGGGCAGGCTTGTTAAAACACAGGTTTCTGGACCCTCCCTCGGAGTTTCTAACTTGGTATGGGATCTGAGAGTTTGCATTTTTAACAAATTCTCAGATGCTGCTGAAGCCCCTGGCTCCACATTTGGAGAACAGCTGTGTTAAACTATTCAACTAAGAATTTCTCAGCTAATGTTTATCTACAAATCAGCAATACAGTGTGAACCACACTGATTTTCAAGACAAAACCTGTCAGTCATTGAAATTCAATCATAAGTACTTGGTGTTATTTGAATCCACTGAGAAACACATCCAACAAGAACTAAAAAGCTGTTCACACCCCCTTATCTGGTAAATCCAGGAAATAAACTCCATAGAAATCATGTAGATGAATCTTTCCCAAGTAATATTTCTTAGAACATTAATACTCTGTGAGTTGTAAAAATTTCTATAGTCAGATAAGGTTAGGAATCTATATTATATTCATATATTTTATGACTCTTTCAAGGGGAAGATAGAATAAAAAGTGTTTCCCAAACTCATTTGACCACAGAACCATTAATTTTGCAAAACACTTACTAGTAACTTGAGGAACTGTAATGATCCTTGGAAGCCAGTTTGGGAAATACTGGAGCAGACCCTTGGCATTTGTAAGTTTATCATTTTCAATGTTAGCTGTTTGTCAGAAGAAATGTCATTGCTATAATAATTTGTGGTTCTGCTGGAGCATGGTGGCCTTCTCAGGGAGTGAGTCACTCAGCTAATGAATGAACCCAGCCCACTGCCAGCAACGTATACCCCAATGTGGCTTTGCTGCTCAGGACACAGTAGCTTTTGTAGTAATAAAAAATGTGCTTGATTTGTGAAATGGCCCTGAAAAAAAAAGTCAGTTATTGGTTTTAGTGGTGGAAAGAAATGAAAAGAAGAAAAAGGAATTATTGGAGGTGGACATGGAGGTGATAAAAAGGAGGTCTTAGCAAGAAAACAGAAGTTTGGGGACAGATTTTAAAGGTGGTCTCCTAAATTTGTCACAGACTTGGATCTATATGCAGATAAGCTCATCCTGTAACCCACATGGAGAAGGTAAAAAGTGATTCATGAATTACTTTAGTGAGAGACAAACCATAGCAAGATAAAATGTTACACAAGCAACTGCCGACTGAAACGTAATTTAAGAGAAAGCTAGAAGCCTGAGCAGGTGTTTCTGTGAAGCCCTGGGAGGTGCAGACACTCATACAGGAAATAAAGTGTGCTTCTAGAATGAAAAATAAGAGTTTTTCTTTGAGTATTATGATGTTAACAAGGGAGGGATGTGGCCTTAGCTGACTATATTCCAAGGAAATGGAATATATTTCCATTAGGTCTTCCCTAAGCTAAAGACTTCACAGAAGAAAATGAGAAATAAATTTCATGTCTCAGGACCTGCAG